TAACCTAGTAAACTAATTTCTCTGCTTTGGAAACTGCTACAAAGCTTAGCAGAATAGTGACATAGTACAAGGTGATTTGTTTGGTGAAAATTGGAATCTAATAACATGATAGAGCAATGATGCAGTTGCTTCATCCACATGACCAGAGAAGGGGAAAAAGCTCACTGTATTCACTCAAGCTGTATTTCGTAAGATCGTTGTTCCTCTTTAGGGACAACCTAGAAGTGACATTGGAGATGGGGAATGCATTTGACTTGTACTGCGTTTATTTTGTTGCTAAAAGTAACTGCAAGTGATGGGAGGAATTTAGCTTGGACTGGCAGCAGAGGGAAAAGGATAGGCTGGAGCTGGTATCACCTTGTCCATCAACACTGGTGCCCTGATGCAAATCTCCCAGTCCAGGAGCTGCTTTTAGCAGTAAAGACAAACACATATAACCACCTATTGTGTCTGCATGTTCCCCCCTGTGCAGCTGGCAGCAGCTGTCGTTGGCATTTGATGGAAGCTATATAATGAAGGTGCCAGACACACTTCTGTGGTGAATGAATGTGACAATGTATGGGCTCATCTCTGTCCTAAAGGGGCTATAGGTGCCAAACCAGCCATGATTGGGAACAGGCACTCATTGCCACCAAGGCCACCTGAACATCTAGTGACAATGTTGGACCCAGGAGTATCCTGAAGCTATGGACTTCTCCTTCCAGGAGAGGGTCACTCTGTCCAGAACAGGCTCTCTTCCCACCTCCTGTTGTTTGAGAATATAGCCCCTCTACCTTTTCTGGATTCAGCTTCAATTTACTGGTCCACATCCAGCGCATCACCACCTCCAAGCGGCAGGAAGGTAAACGGTGTTTCCGTGCGCTCTGGCTTCCATCACAGTGTCCTGTTGTGCCAGAAGCAGTTTAGTCCTGCTGGCCACATGACCCAGAAAGCTGTCTGTGGACAAACGCTGGCTCCGTCAGCCTGAAGCGAGATGAGCTCTGCACTTCATAGTCACCTCTGACTGGACTTAACCATCTAGGCGTCCTTTACCTTTACCTTTTTACCCTTTTCACCTAATAGGACAGCTCACATAATATACAGTGGTCCCTTGGTACTTGAACGGGTTGGTTCCTGAACCAATCAGTTCCCAAACGCTGCAAACCCAGAAGTGAGTGTTCCGGTTTGCAAACGTTTTTCAGAAGCCGAACATCCATTGCAGCTTCTGCGGCTTTTGATTGAGTGCAGGAAGCTCCTGCAGCCAACTAGAAGCCATGCCTTGGTTTTTGAACGCTTTTGGAAGTCAAGGTACCAATGTAACTGAAATTGCATTAGTTGTGCATGAACAATAGGTCATTAACAAATAAATAATATGTAAAACTTTGTAAATAGAGTTTTTTTATTGGATAACCCAAACTGATTCCATTGATATTTTTGAAACTGAAGAAAGTGGATGTGGAACTGGAAATTTCTATTATAATATACAGATTTATTTTTGCATCTTATGCAACGGTCTGTAGCTATTTTTGAATACACATCTGCTGATCATAGAATCAGAATCCTGTAACTTCCTAAGAAAGTCACAACTGGAAGAACCGAAACTTCTTTTTCATATAATTTGATCAATACATTAGGCACTCCATTGGCAGCTTAATTGGCGGGGACCCTTGAACAATGTATATTTATCACCTTACAGAACTTCTCCCACTTCTAGGGATTAGCCTTGGCAATCTAGTATTCTAGAGAGAACTTCCTTTTTTAAATGTGACAT